ATAAATATTCCTATTATTCATACAATTTTAAATGAAGAATTTGGTGATTATATTACATAGATATATAATGATATCTATAATTTTATTTATCAATTAGAAGGTTTTAGATCTGAAAAAAAAGAATTTGATGTTGAAGTATTTATAAAATATTAAAGCTGTTTAAGTATAATAATGAAGACTTTTATTATTATACTGATTTTAATAATTATATAAAAAGATTAGAACATGTAATATAAATGTTTTCTGAGCAGCTTATGAATTACAGTAAATTTAATGATGTAGTGATATTTGATAATACTTATAAAATCAATTAGTTTCAAATGTCATTTGGTATTTTTATAGAAGTAAATAATTATAGTCTACCCTTAATATAGTGAATTTTAATATAATAAATCACGTGATACTTAGATTTTCATTTGAAATACAAATTGCATTTCAAATATTTAAAAGTTTTTTAAAATAATTTTAAATAAATATCAAAATAATTTTAAATATCAAAAATCATTTTGAATATCAAAAATTATTTTAGATATCAAAAATCATTTCAAATATCAAAATTGCTTTTAAATATTAAAAATCATTTTAGATGTAAATTGATTTTGAATATATCTTATTTTATTTTTTTTCATATTTTTATTTTTTATATTTTTTTTATTATATTTTTTTTTTAATTTTAAATTTTAAATTTTAGTTTTTTTTAATAAACTACTTTTTATTTTTTTTTTGAGTTTTAAAATATATTTTCATAATTACTTTTTTTTTATTTTCTTTTTAATTAAATTTTTTTTCTTTAACAATCAATATATTTGAAATTGGCTTTTGGTAATAATTTATTTATTTATTTTTTATTTTATTTTTTTTGTATTAATCTTTTATTTTTCTTTTTTTTATATTCTTTATTATTATTTTTTTTTTATATTAATCTTTTTAATTTATTTTATTTTTATTAATTTAGAAATAGAAATTAATTTTTTTTAAAAGTAGATCTTTTGTTTTTGCGAATAAGGTGAGTCTTTTTTTTTTAGGGTTCTATAAGGATTTTTTAAATGTATACTATCTTACTAACTTCCTTTCTTTTTTTTAAAAAGAGAATCTTTCATTCTGTTTGGATAAGATAAGTTTTTTTAGGACCTTTTAAGGAATTTTTTTGATTAAATTTCTTTTTACTTACTTTTTTTTTTTTCTTTTTTTTATAAGCAGATTTTTTTTCTTTTGAATAGTGTGAGTTTTCTTTAAGATTTTTTAAAGGATTCTTTTGAGTGAATTTTTTTTTTACTTACTAATTCCTTTTTTTCTTCTTTTTTAGAAGCAGATATTTTATTCTTTTTAGATTAAGAGTAAGTCTTCTTTTAGAATACTTTAAGAGATTCTTTAAGGATAGATTCTTATTTTTTTTAACTTTTTTTTTCTTTTTGAATAGGTTAGTTTGTCTTAACATTATCATCAATTTTATTTGAATAATTTATATTTACTACAATTTTAAACAAAATTTGCAATTTTTAAAATGATTTGGTTATCAAAAATTTTGTTAATAATATTTTTTTCAAGAATATTTAAAAATTCTTTCATATTTATTATGTTGAATAAATAAAGAGCTTTAATTATTTCATTAAGCTAATCATTAATTATTAAATTATCATTCTCATAAATATTATTATCAATTAATATTAAGTAAACTTTAATATAATTCTAATAATTTTGAATAATATTAGACATATTTTATTTTAAATATGAATAATATATTTAATTACTTATAAAATATTCTTTAAATTTTATACAAGTTGATTAATTTTACTTGTTTTAACATCTATCTATAAAAAAAAATTATTTATATAATTTGTGTAAATAAAAATAATAAAAATTTAATAAATCATTAATTATATAATATAATAATGATCATAATAATTCTTACATTTATTAGTTTATAAAGTTATATTAGAAGGTAAAAAATAAATATTAATATATGAAAGATTTAAATTTTCTAAAAAAAAATATAAAAAATTAGTATAATTTAACAATAACATATTTACTTTTATATTATTTTGCAATATAATAATAGCTTTTGCAACCTTAGAAAAAGTTATCTAAAATATTATAAGAATATGAAAGTATTAAATTTGAATCTTATACCAATTTTCATAATTTTATCAAAGCTAAATTGAAATTTCAAAAATTATTAATGATTTATCAAAAGCATTTTAATAATACAATTTATTAAACTAGTAAATTTGTTTGATAAGTCATACAAGGTATAGTAAGAATTTTTCGCCTATTTCTAAATTCTTTATTTGTTAAATTAGATTTAATTTTTAGCTAAATTAAATATAATAACAATTATAATTTACAAGAGAAACTTACTTCATTATAAGATGTTATATTTTAGCCATTTTCTAATTCACAAATCTTATTCATTTATTATAACAAATATTTGTAAAGTTTTTCTATTTTCCAAATTTGACTTTGGCAATTTTCATTTATAAGAATAAATTTACCATACTCTGTTTCATTTATAAGTATATCTTTATCTACAAAAGAGAATCTCTTTATATTTTTTTGTTACTATGAATTTCATCTTAATAGCAGCATGAATAAGTAAATTTTATTTCTTTATCATGAAGTTTAAATTTCACAAATCAGAAATCTAAATAATTTATTACCATCATCACTTGAATCAGCATTTTCAATACGAAGAATTTTATATTTATTTTTTTTTTTTTTATTTGTTTTATCTTCTTTTGCTTAAATTATTTCGAATTTCGTCACTAATGTTAGGACTTTCGTCTTTAAGATGTTTTAACATGTTTTTGCAGATAAACCACCCATTTTTCCGAGCAATATTTGCAAGTTGCCTTATGATGATGAACTGTTAAGAAATGTGCCTTCGAAAAAGTGAAACAAAATTAAGACTTTTTTTTGTTTCTACCTTGCTTCTTTTGTGGCATTTTTTAAAGTTTACTAATTAACTGTAAGCGTTGTTTTGCCATTTCACATGCGAAGTTGAAAAATTTATCTAGTGATACATGCATAACATTGACACGAACTTTTGATTTAATCAATTATATTAAAGATTATTATGAAAACCACTTATTAACTACTTATTAATACTTATTAACTTATATAAATTAAAAAGCAAAAATTTCATTTTAATTAATAATTATTTATTAAGATTTTAGCTAAAAAAATTGGGTAATTTTTTTTTTTTCAATTCATTTAGCAAAACGACATTAGCACTATAATATTTATTTCGGCAAAAAATGATATAAAGCTTGCTTTTTATACATAATTGATCAGAAGAGGTAAGTAACTCTAGAGTTTTGTAGATTCATGTTCTAACGAGAAAATTCAAAAAAAAAAAAAATATTATAAAGAGTTATAATAATTATTCCAATTGTCATTCTTATTACCAAAAAAAAAAAAAAAAATATAAACAATATATATTAGATGAAGTTCGCAACTAAAACCGTTTTATTATCCTTGAGAAGTTGTGTGTCTCGTCGGAATTGTAATTTTCACACATATTTCCTTTTTGAGAACAATCGTAAAGTATTAAACGGAAATTTCAGATGCAAGAAAAACTTTAGAGTATAAATATATATCTTTAATTCATCAAAAATTCTTTTATATTCATCCTCTCCATAAAAATTTTTTCTTAAACAATGACGAAATCTTGCGCAAAAAGAAGCAAACAATTTGTGTTCGTACAGTGGGTTACCAATCAAGGAAGGGTCGAGGCATAGGAACATCCATGGTAAACGGGCTTGAAATAGAGCCACGGGACGAAATAGTGTCTGCGCGTCATACACCCACGATGACTTCCCTGACATCATCAACGAAGGGGGTCTATGAAAACCAACATGTAAATATATATATATATTTTTTTTTCATAATTTAATTCTATACGATTATTTAATTCAATTCGATCTCCCAGAAGTATAGAAAAATATATTTATTAACACGAAGAACAAGGAAATTTTCGAAGTTCAATTACAAATGAAATCTTGCATTAATAATATATAATGTAAATTTTATTACCTATCGGATATTTATCAAAACTTTAAGATATACCACTTTTTAAGTGTCTGATATTCCACTGTACATAATTCATTGGATAGTCTATAGTAAAACTTACTATTAGAGATTTTTTTGTATTAAGCTATTTTATGAAATAATTTTAAACTGTTTTATAATAAATTTACTATTAACGAAGTTATATTTCCCTTCTTTAATAACCCTGAATACTTCTTATCATTTTCATTTTAGATTTTTCGAAAATACTCCAAATATCTGTCTCTTTCACAAAATAGATCGCTTTTTTTAAAAAAATTCATTAATACTCCAAAATTAATAAATTAAACCTTCTAAATAAAATATAACTTTTTTTTTACGTGAGTTTTAAAAAAACTAGGTATTTTATGTTTCTTAAAGTTATCATGTACCCATTCAACTTTACTGCAAAGAATTCTGTGCAAAATCCATTTTTATCTTCTGTCCAGAAAACACGCTTTTAAAATGATCACCAGAACGCAAAACGCATGGTTATAAAGTTTAATGAAATCTTTAAATGAATGTTTATTTATAAGCATAAAAAAAAAAAAAAAAAAAAAAAAAATTCATTTATTTTTTTTTTTTTTTAATATTTTCAAATGCCCTTTTTTTTTTTTAAAAAAAAAAAAAAGACGCATAAAATTTTTTTTAACTTTTTTTTTTTTTTTTAAATAAAAAAAAAAATAAGTATAAAAAAAAAAAAATAAATATAACAAAAATGAAAAGGAAAAATCAATGTACAAAAATAATGTAAAACAAAAAATAAATAATCATACCCATATATATAAAATATAACTACAACAAATTTTGATAATCTCAACAATAAAAACATATTTTACATCGAAGTTGTAAAACGAAAAAAAATTTATAAAATGGCAAGAATTGTAAAAAGTAAAATAAAATGATACCGGGCACATTTCTTTTTTTTGAAAAAAAATCATATCAATACATAATATCTATTCTTTCCTCTCCTTTTCTTGTACGAGGATCATAGGTCTCATAAATGGATCTTCCTTCCTTTCTTCTTCTTTTGCACCTCCAACCCAATTAAAAATGCTAAAACGCTTTGCATTTTTAGTACCTGATGAAGAATTTCTTCTTTGTACACGTTTTGGTGCATCACCAAGAGTAATTGTATCTTCATTTGATTTTCTTTCACTTGGTAAGGGATAAATCTTATCAGGCTCTTCAGCTATTATTTTATTGATTGGTGATAAAGAATTTTGAGGTTGAGAAGTGCTACGGAAGTGCAACACAGACACGGTCTTACGCCTTTCAATTTTCTTAGTTTTATTTTCATGGCCTAAGAGGTTTTTACTATTATTATTATTATTATTATTATTATTATTGAAACTAAATGACCCTGTAACAGGTGTTACAGGACTGGACGCGGATGGTTTCTTCCATTCTGATTCAGATGACAAAATTTCTTCAAAACCTTGAGTCTCAATAATACGGTTAAGGATCTTTTCAATATAAAGTCTCAAACACTTATTGGCGTCAGTAAGTGACTTAATTTTATCTTGCAATTCTATAGAACGGAATATTTTAATTAAGTATTAAAGAATATCATATAAACACGTATTAAACCGGTATTAAATACATACTATCAATGATTGTGGTATCACTTTCTTTATGAACGCGTTCGCCATGGTAAAAACTGGTTAACAAAGATGCACGATCCAACTCAGCAGCCAAATCTGTCGCGATTGAATTTTTATTTTTAACTTTATTATCATCATCAATTGGGGGAGAACTCACAGAATCATTTGTAACCTTTTCAATGGTACCCGTACATTTTTTTTCTGTGTATGTACCATTTCGCTATAGTAAAAAAAAAAATGGGGGATTAATGGAAAGTTGTTAAAACATTAAATAGTAGGGTTATTTAAAAGTCATTACCTGCATGATGGGATTTAACATAAATTCGCCTTTCATTGTCTTTTCATGCAATAATAATTGATATCCCTCATTTTCCTCCATTAACGCTTGATTCATGTGTTTCACTTGAGACAATTCATTCTCTAGTTGTTGAATTCTACGCACATGACTCTTGCTAAGGTTCATTGATTCTGTGGTGGCTTGTTTGGCCTTATCAAGCTCGGCGGTTATTTCATTATTACGTCGTTCTATCTCTTTGATAGTTCGTTGAGCACCCTTTAATTCACGAATAGTGGTATAATGTGAAACATCTTCTACATAAATATGTGTGTATGCGTGTACATATATCACAGATAAAAAAGAAAGATGAAAATTGTTAATTATTGAGAAAAAGGTCGAACCACTCGTAATACTTTCTAAATAACACAAACCACGGGGCTGATGTCCCGTTGGTGTATTGCCTATTGTGACAACCTAACCGAAATAATGTGAATAACTATTACATCATTGTAATCAGAACTAACCATTTTTCTTTTCTGAAACTTGCTCATTTTGCTGTGCCAGAACATTGATGGTGTCTTGTAGTGCTTTTGCTTGATCAAGCAACTCTGATTCACGTTCTTGCCACACAATCCGATCTTTTTCAAATGCTTGTGTCTGATAAAAAATCCCATATAAAGAATGTTTAGCATATACTTTTATTTTCTCGAAAAAAATTTTTTTTTTTTTTTAATAAAAAAAGGAGGATCTTTTTACCTCCTCTCGCAATTTCCTTTCCACCTCCCGTTTATTTTTCAAGAATCCAACATTTTCTTTTTTTAACCTTTCTAATTCTTGCCCTTGTTGATATAATTCCGATTCAAGGCGAACGCATTCATTATGGTTGTTGCTGATTTGTTGTTGAAATGATGTAACTTTTTTACGAAGGAAAGAATTTTCATCTGATAATAATTTGTTTTCTTTATGAGTGCGATCGAGTTGTTCGTTTAGCTAATGAAATTTTTTTTTTTTTTAAAGAAAAAAAAAATTATATAAATAAATTTCTGAACGGGTCGAGTTTGTATGCTAAGTTCCAAAAAAAAAAAAAAAAGTAAGAAAAAATAATTACCGAACAATTTAGATTTTGATAATTGTTCAACTCTTGCTGTAAATCGATGTCCTTGGATATTTTAGACATTTTTTTTTTAAAAAGTAATAATTAGTTGAGATTATAAACGATAGTGACGTGTCGGTACGTAGTTGGTACGTAGATGGGGTATGTTTGCGGTCGAAAAAAAATAAAATAAAGTAAAATAATAAACTGGTTTTTTTTTTTTACTTTCTAAACGTTAAGGATTGATTTTTCTCGAGAAAAATGATGAAAATAATGATACGAATAATAAAGGTACTTTATAGACTTTTTGGTTTTGTTTGTTTCACGATGGTTTCTGATGCTTTTTATATGAGAAACCAAAGGATAAAAAAAAAAAATAAAATAAAATAAAAGGAAAGTTTAAGTACTATAAGGCAAAGATAATATTCGGTTATTGTTTGCTGTTTTTATAAGAAGAAGAGATGCAAAATGGCCGAGAAAAACGGCGCTAGTAATATGTGGGGAAAGTAGATTAATTTACTGTGCGTAATATTTAAATTGTAATAAACAGGAGTGTGTCGTCTCAAAATAATCATTAAGTGTATGCTTAAAAAACTGATACGGTAAATAAAAAAGTCAAACTCGAAACTTTTAAAAGTGGTTTTTGCAGCTACAGTGCAGAAGAAACGTTCCGGCTTGCTATTATTCGTTACCAAAATACAGATCGTTACAGGCAAACTATTGGTGGTGGTTATCAAATAATAATAATAAAAATTTATTAACGTTCTCTATTTTCGTCAAAGAAGGGTGAAAAAAGAAAAAAAAAAAAAAAAAAAGCAAAACTCTCACCTTTTCCGTTACAAAAGGAGAAAATTCAAAAAAGAAGATAGAAAAAAAAAAAAATAAAAACAACGGAACGAGAGCCAAGAGGCACTTAAAATTAAACAAAACTATTTAAGAAATGAAGGGCAAGTATTTATAAAGTCGGGATCTTTTTTAATTCATAAAAAAAAAAAAATTAAAAATAAATTTTGATTAGTAGAATAGAATAATACTTCTAAATTGATATATTGAAGAATGCATCTGTCTTATTATTGATTGATTCAATTACTTGAAAAAAATAACTGCAGTGTTCAGTATTTGCGCTTTTGCATGGTCTCTAGTTTTGTCGCTCGTGTACAGTTAAATATTACAATCCCTTTGCTATATAAATATTTGTATTACTTTCCTCGAAGAGTAGAATGTAATTTGTTCAACCACCCAAAGAGGATACTGGTTAAATATTTAAATTGACCCAATTTATATGGTTAATGAGATATTCATCGAACGGGTCTGCTCCGCATGTGGAACTGCCTGTAACACGTTCCCATTTGAACTGTCTCGCAGATAAATTTTGAAATAATTTTAGTTTCTTTTCGTGATTGGTTCGGTGAAAGGATTCATCCCATACTTATCTCATTTTATTACCATTGTTAAAATCATTTCAACTGTAGTATAAGTTTTTGGTAATTCGTGATTTTTGACCGAATTTAAAATGTTTTTCATACTGTATATAAATGTAAGAAGATATCTGGATGTGCATTCATTCGAATAAAAAATGATGATATGAATTTATTTTTAAAAAAAAAAAAATTTCCTTAATTATACTACGACATGCAATCCTTATCATCCTTCGCATCAATTTGTTGAGGTTCACAACAATGAATTTTTATTTTACATTATACATTGTATTCTTTCTTTCCTTTTCTATTTTCTTTCATATACGTCAAATGTATAGTTGATCATTTTTCGACATCTGAACAAATATTAAAAAAAAAATTTTTCCCTAAAGCAACAGAATTTAATTTAAAATTTTTTTATTTGTTTGCTTATATACAATTGTACATTATTCGAAATAAATATTATATAGATGTTTGACTTAATGTAATGTTTTACAATCTTTCAAATTACTGCCAAAAAAAAAAAAAGTCACAATTTATTAAACAAAGAATAAATAAATAAAAAAGTTCGTAACAATAAAATTAAGAAAATGAAAAAAGTAATACATATATATATATAATAAAAAATAAATTAAGAAAAAAAAAAAATATTTTTTTTTTCATCATATCGAGAAAAAAAAAAAAAAAAAAAAAAAAATCTCGAAAATATTGATTGTTAATTTATACTTATCGTTGTCTTTTACCAATTGTAGACATTAAAACCAATTTTTTCTTTTTCTGCTTTTTACCGACATATATTTCCTCTTCCGGATAATCCCATAAATCTTGTTCATCATCATCTTCGGCGGACTCCTTGGTTTTTGTAACAATGGGAAAGGATACGGCTGGCGTTCCCCATACTGTTTTTGGCCCATTGTACTGATCATCAGGTTTGCTATTTTTACTACCATGTACATTCTCATTAGTGTCGGAAGATTCTTGATTCGCTGTCCCAGATCTACTACCAGATTCTCGGTAAGAATAAGGCTGAAAAAATGAATCGGATCTAAGCGATTCCTGTTGAATTTCTTTTTGTCGTTCCTTTCGAACGGCCAGTTCATGTGGCCATTCTTCTTTACGTGCCTTTTCTTTGCGTCGATTGTAACGTTGTCTTAATTCACCTTTTGATAATTAGATTTAAAAAACGGTTACATCATTGAAATTCATATGGTAATATATCTGCTAATAATAAAAAATGTACCACATACTTTCAAAAACCTTCAACGAATTATCTGAAACGAATCCTTTCAAATCTACTTCGAGAAAAGTTACGTCACAACCCAAAGGTAAATGACTCAGGTATTTACAACGCTTACGAAGATCCTTTAAATTAACGATAACGATGTTAGTTAAAAAAATTTTTTATATGCATGATGCAGATGAATTAGAAATGTACCTCGGTCATTGTAGATTCGTCAACGCCAAGAATACGAACGGTGATATCATTTGGGAATTGATTATACGATCCAAATTCTTGTTTCAAGACACGAATATCTAATGGATGCAAATAAATATGTTGCCCATCTTCGGATTGATAATAATAATACATCCTATCGTAAGCACGGGAATCCTTTGTAGCTTTAATCTTGGGCTTTTCATTATGGTCTAATGGGCTTAAATTTGCAATATGGGGCTTATATTTAAAGTCTTCTGGTAAAAAGGGTGGAGGGATGGCGTCAGAACTTAAATTAAACGATGAATTATTAATATCCCCATGTGATGTAGCAACTTTATTATCTGCAAAGACCTCATCTTCCTGATAAGAAGTTTCAATTGTATTTAATAAATTTTTCTTGTCTTGAATTTCATTATAATCTGCATCTGCCATATCTAAAATTCCGCGTGCACATTGTTCGGCGTCAAGAGCAGCTTTGGTGGATAATTTTCCGAGAACTTCTAAATGTTCCTATATTAAGTATTCAATTAGTCATGACCATTAAATTATAAAGGAAATCTAGATATTAACCAAATTCAGGGATGTATAGATGTGAGCTGATCATACTTTAACATTGACCATGGCCATTTCAATAAATGGGATTTCTTCGCTTGAATTCCAATTACGAGCTTCCTGTAACGCATCCTCTAAATCGCTTAAATCGCGATCATATTCACTTTGCATGTAATCGATTGAAACAAGTGTCAGCTTTGAAAACGCGAGCGCGTTAGGGGTAAAATACCAAGGGGCTGAAGGTACATTGGTATTGTCATCACGGAGTGGCCATGTTGATGAACGCGGTAGCGCGACAGTCGAATTCTACAATGGGATAAACGTAAAGGATGATGTTAAATGTTGCCAAAACACTTTCATAAAGATACGATAAAGTTACAAGTCATACCGCAGGTCGTTGAATGAGTCTCATGGTAAGCATCTCCTCTCCTTTTGTCAATCCACCACCTACTTTACCGATCGTTCTGACGGTCCAAAATCTGACGCTTTTAAGGTCCTTGGAGTATACAGCATCCCAACAAATAGGACACTTGCGCCATTTTTTGTTTGGCCTGTCTTCGTCATCATTCAATTGCAAATAATGAAGAATACAAGCAAGACAATATGTGTGACCGCATTTGGTAACACGAGCTGCGGTTGGTTGTTGCAGACAAATTGGGCAGCCGGGAATGTTGGGATTAGTTATAATCTAATTTTTGATGAATACAACAAAGTTAATCTAATCTCATTCCACTTAAAATGTAACACGATTTTATGTTGACATACCACTTGCTCGATGTCTTGCCAGTTGAGCAATAGATCTAATGAGAAAGCGTGATCATACGTTATAAAATAATGTCGAGTATCAATTTGTTAACCACCAAACAGAATAAACCTACCTGGATCAGCTTGATAAACGGTGTAATCACCCATCGATTTGACGAGGAACCTAAAACTACATCAACAACGTATGAATTAGATTGCGAAAATTGCATGATATTGTCGGTTAAATGAATCATTTAATACATACTTTGCATTCAAAAAACGTTCTTTATTGTAAGGTTGATAATTAATTGCTCTCTGCCTTCGAGGAACATTGACATTAGAACTTTGTCTCGGAGGAAATGAGAAATTCAAAAGATGATTAAGAGAAATTTGTCCTCTCCTGTTGGGAGCACCATAAGCCTGAAATTATCGAACGTATATGTAAGAAAATTATCAACTCGATAACACAAAATTGTTTAAAGAACGAACGACATACTACGGGATCCTTATCATTCATGGCCATATCATTCAGAGCTGTGGTAACTGTAGTGACAGGAGAATGCGATTCATCAGCTTGACCTGAATCATTCTCGCCAGAGGAATGACTACTACTTTTGTCTCCATTTTTCACATCAGCATCTGCATCAGATGGATGACGCTGTTGATGATGAGAATGACGATTTTTGTTACGGCGAGAATTATTATTCCTTTTATTGTTAATTACGCTCAAACGGGCTAAATAATTAAAATCATTTGGTCATTTCAGCATAACGATCGTAAAAATAGATTTGAAAATCATTTATAATGCTTATAAATACCATTTGGATCCCCTTGAGTATGATAATTTTGATTCTTTGGGCCATTCCTTCTCGACTCAGGCTGGAGCGAACTCTGATTCGATGCGACGTTTCGTCCAGTCGGACGTTGAGCACGAG